ACCTCATCTCCTCCTCACTCCGTGTTCCACTATGTGCCTTCTGGCTTTTGGCCAAACAGTTTGATACACGTGGCTTGTAGAGGCCAGTGTTTGCTTTAATACATTAACCCTTTGCTGTGCAATAGTTGTACAAAGCTTGTCCATCAAAAAACCTCTGTCTTGCCAGGAAGGGACGACCTCCCCTGACTGTGATCTTGTTTAGGAACATTTTTATTCTACAACACAACATACATCTTCCATTTGCAAATGTTAAATTTTGAATTGAGAAAAGGGCAGGCAAGTAAAGACACAAGTATCACACAGAAGGTGTGTGATGAACTAAAGAAACACAGCTGAGCTACAAAGCTCCATCCAACACTTCAAGGTTCTTTTGAAATGAGAGTAGGTATCTTTAAATACTGACCTACCCTAATGCAAATGCAACTAAAATGATGATAAAAATTCTCACATAATCATTTCCTGGCAAAAACACTTATGCTTAAGGGTCCTCAGAACTATCTGCATATGAGAAATCAATGGCCTTTGAAAACCTACTGCAGCTTATATTGGCCAAAGTAATGAAAAACTACTATGGAAATGAAAACATGGGTAATTAAAAAAGACACACAAAATGTTCTCCACAATTTTGAAAGCATTATTATATGCTGCTTTAAACTAAACACATTTGCAAAAATAACAAACATCAAGATCTGATGGATGCTGAAAATAGCATTTAAAGTGAGCTTAGACACTGATCTACAAAGGGTCACAATCTATGAGACTTGTACTAAATTTTGGTAAGAAGCTGCATCTGTTTGTGCTGCTTATAACCTGCAGAGATTAAGAACGCTCTGCTAATTAAAATTTATTACAAAAATGTTTACTTCACCTTTACAATACTATTCTGATACATTTTCATGAACAACCACCTGTTCATGCAGTTAGAACTCTTCCTCTACAACTTCTTTCCAATCACATTCCTATCCTTCAGGTCCCTACCCTGGAACTTGAGGTATAATCCAAGCAAGAGGTAAGTTCCCAAGATTTCAGGCCATACAGTGAGGTGGCACCTAATTTTCTTTTTTCCCTCTACAATCCTAGCAAGACTTCTTTTAACCATGCATCTGAAAGCTTCTTTCTTCTCCATCAAGTCCCAGCTTAGTAATGCAACTTTATTATCTTTTTTCAACGTCTATAAATTCAGTCTTTCTACCTTTTAAGGCAGAAAGGCAATACTGCAAAAATATTTTCTTCATTCACTGCTTTGATTACAGTTTTCTGTATTCCTGATGCACCATAACATGAACAATCTCCTTGCTCTAAATTTCAAGGCTCTGCATGGCCTGTTCTTGCTCCACCTCTTAAATTTGAATTGCTGCTCTGTAGAGATATCCCCTTGTCAAAACATAAGGAAGAAAACAGGAGTGTTGGCCTGGCAGTTCAGGCAGGAACCCAGCTTTCTGTGAAAATCCTCAGGGTGACAATGCTACCCTGCTTTAAATATATCCTCCAAGTTGGATGCCTGTGAATCACTCCCCGATGCTGAGATAGCCAAGGTACTCGAACTTCTGCATGTTCTTTTGCTCACAGCATTCTCACAGCTCCCTTGTGCTTTCCCAATACATTTCTTACATTTACATGCTGTCTTATCTTTACATTTAAATTAAGAAATTGTTTGTGCAGGAACAACCTTTGCTTATGCATTTGTACTGCGTGTAGTGTAATGGTGCCCTGGCCTCTAGGCACAATTACAATATAAATAATAAAAATGAACTGTTCACCTAAGATTAACTCTCCTGACAGTGCTGCATGAAGCTACAGCCTTCAAACAATGACAAAAGGCTGTTCTAGCACCACATTCCACCATCTGTACTCTCTCCAGGTACTGATGACACTAATTCCAAGTTCTTCACCTGCAGGAAGCCTCCACTGTTCCCTGTACTTATCTGTGTCCACAGCACCACTGGAATTTTTACTGATAACCAGGCAAAAAGCAGAATGAGATGTGGGCAAGCACTGTCCTACTGAAGGACCCTCTGCTCCCTTAACATAAGCCTGCTCCTGGGAAGAGCTGAGAATCCCTGGCATCCCACAGGAGCAGATTCAAGGCAGTTTTCCATCTGTCTGCTTAAACTCATCAAATTTGCTTAAAAACATGGCCTTCAAAGAAGGTAAAGTACCAACCTAAAGTACTCTCCAATATGGCACTGCTGTTTAATGGAGGCATCCATAGCTGAGGAATTATTCTATTCTGGCTTTGCCAGTTTAATGCAGGGCTCTTCGTTTTATCATTACTTAGACTGCACTTAGACTGAACATTCAGTGGAACATTTCCTATAATGGGATAAAGCAGTTGAACAATTTGACTGGCTAATAGTGATTTAGACATGTGATTACAGTACAGAAAATGGTCTGACATATGCTCTTTTATCTGGTTTACATGAGGCACATTAATCCAACTGGAAAGCACAGAAGTGAAAAGGAAGACAGGACCACGCACTCTGAAGGAAAAAATAGAAAATAGCTTTAGTTGTCTCATTTCTGTATTTGCCAGGCTAGTTGTAATCTGTATTTTGTACATAGGAAAACTTACACAATAAAACCATTTTCTTCCCAAAATGGATGCAACTACAAACCACCAGTCTACACCTATGCTGTACATGTTCAAAAATAACAATTTTTTATAAAACCCTAGTTTCAAAAGCATTTATGACTTATGTCATAATGCCTTTACCAAAAGTACAGGATTTGCAGAAAGATGCAGCAGGATAAGGAGCACCAAGTGAGCCAGGAACAATCAGAGTGTGAACAAAAAGAGTATTGATTCATTTTAATTTTTGTCTCAGCTAATTTAATTTCCCACTTTTACACAAACACTTATAACCATGTCAGCATAAGCTCATATTTTACAGGAATATTTTATTTCTCCCTAAACCTAGCCAACAACAGTTCCATGACACCAAAAACCTAACTGAAGGCAAGGAATTACCTCTTTAACACACTTTTTTCCTCAAGAGTGCATACACAACCTCAAACTGGCCTAACAAGATATGTCAATTTGCACAGTAACACTGTTTAGGTTTTTTGTGCAAACTGGTACATTTCAGTTGCATTTGCATTTTTCTTCAGAAAAATTTCCTTCAAAATAAAAACATTCAAAGGTTTCCTATGAAAGGTTTGGATTCTGTAAGTAAAAATAAAACCAAAGCGTGTCAAACTAAGCATAAAGGAGATGAACGCAGGAACTTCACCACGTGTACGTTTGCCAACTACTTTCAACGACCGCTATATTAAAAATTCTATCAGGAAAATACATAAGATAATGAAAAGAGGGAGCTGTAAACAACACACCGTCCCCAAAACCAGAGGTGACATGAAAATCTTTGCAGGTAAACTTCATCAATGAAAAGAACAAGAACAAAAAATCATGTATCCCAAACAAGCGATAGCTCTGTCCTGGGATACTTATGTCTTGGTAAAAACAAACGCATATAAAAGATGCATGGTCTCCGCATGTGGTTAGGTCCAGCCCAGCAGAATCCCTTGTCACGTTGTGGACTTCCACTGTGACCTTATGGTCGGGCTTGACCTTAAAAGTCTTTTCCAACCGAAATGATTCCGGCACGGAAATCGGCAGCGGTGTTTGGGGAGGGCGTCTAGGGGAGCGCCGGGACAAACACGGCAATGTCAAACGGAGCGCGTCCCCCAAAACAAAGGGAACAACCTCTGAACCCCGAGGCTCGGACAGACCGCACGGCGCAGGAGCTGCTCCGGCCACCTCCTGACGCTCCTCGGCCAAACGTGCCGCCCAGCTTTGCCCTATTACCGCTGCCATCAGCTATGCCATGGCAAGCTCCATCCTACTCAAAAATAACCGGCGGGGAGCGGAGCCAGCGCGGCAGCGGCGCTTCCCGGGGCCTCTCCCCGAGCGCAGCCCGGCCCCGCACCCCGGGCACCCGCAGCGCGGCCACCCCCGCTCCCTCCGCGGGCAGCGCTGCCCGGCCCGGCCCGGCGGGATCCCCGCCCGAGGCTGCGGGGAGCGGGGCGGCCCCTGGGGAGCGCCCGGCGGGGCGGGGGGAGCGCTGGGGCGGGCGAGCGCCCGCGCCCCCGGCGGGGAGAGGCCGCGGCGAAGGGAGAGCTGCCAGCGGCCGGGAACGGGCTCCCCCCGCCATCCTCCGCCCCCTCCCTCCGTGTGTTTGTTGTGCTTCGGCACCGTCCCGCCGGCGCGTCCCTCCGTGCGGCGGCCGCTGACAGCTCCCCCCGCGCCGCCGAGAAACTCCTGCCTCAACTCTGCGTGTGCGCGGGGGGTGCGCGGGTGTCCTCCCCGCCACCCGCCGAGAACCGTGTTTTCCTTCCCAAAAAGAGGAGGGGAAGGGGGGGGGCATTACAAGGGAAAGCGACGAGGAACTACCGTCAGCGCACAGGGAGCACCCAGGCGACGCTGAAGGCAGCCGAGCGTCCTGGAAGGGAACGGACCCAAAAAGAAGGGGGAAGGTGCAAAGGCAAGGGAAAAAGGAGGAAGAGGGTGGAGGGGGAAGAGCTGAAGAGAAACTCCGAAGAAGGAGGGGAAGAAAGGAATAGGGATGGGGAAAGAAAAGTGGAAAAGGGAGAGCAGGCGGAGGAAGACAAAGGTGAAAAAGGAGGAGGAGGAGGGGAAAGTGCAAAGGGGAGAGGAGGAGAAGAAAGAAGGGCCCTTCTCAAAATGGCATTAGGCAGAGGGAGGGGGCGACGAGTAGCGAGTCTCCACTGACAGCTCTGCCTGCGCCTGGCCGCCTGCCCCGGCCCCTCTCTGCCTCGCACACACAAACGCTGAACTTACTTCTTTCTGGCTCTCTGGAAAGGGGAAGCGCCATCTTTGCGAGGCCGGCCCCTAGGTCTTTTGTCTGTGGCTGCTGCTGCTGCTGCTGGGGGGGGAGCTCCAGGCTCGGGGGGCTGCTGCTGCTGCTGAGGCGGCTCCACCACCGCCACCACCAGACTCTTGTCCTCCGTTGACATCCTAGTCAGCAGGACGAGAGAGACACATGGATGATGATGATGAGGATGAAGATGAGGATGGTGATGGGGATCCCGATGCTCCTCCTGCTCCCGCGGCTCCTCTCCTCCTCACCTCCGCCTCCTCCACCTCCGCCTCGCATCGCTGGCCTCAGCCGCCGCCGACCAGCACAGGTAGCAGGGGGAGCAGCATGGGGAGAGCAGGAGGAGGAGGGGAGGGGGTGGGGGG